TTAGATTTGTCCACATGTTTCAGCTATGCCCATACTTTTCTTGGCAACATTGCTGGAATTATTTGCCATTGGCATTCTTCTGGGTTTGAGTTTGGAAATCCTTTGTCTAGATGGCTTAGCTTTTCTCATGCCTATAGAGCCCTATATCTGTTATGAGTTGGCCTTTCCTTCAGCTCTCTCATGATTTTACTAGCAAGGGTGACCCTTTTAGGAGTTCAAACTCCTTATGGCATCATTATCAGTATCATTTAAATGACTGAGTTCTCTCACCAGATTAAATTAGCAATCCGTTGGAGGTTGATACAGAGAGCCGGTTTGGTCTAGTGGTTAAGATGCTGACTTGCAAACCAGGATAGTGAGAGTTCTAGTCCTGGTTTAGGCATGAAAGCTAGCTGGGTGATTTTGGGCCAGTTACTCTCTCAACACAACCCACCTCAGAAGGCTGTTGCTTTGGGGAAAATAGAAGAAGGAAGTATTGTATGTTGACTATCTTGAGTTACTTATAAAATAATAAAGGTAAGATAAAAATCAAATAAATAAATAGTAATGCTATTTCTGTGTATACAAAGAATGCTCACTGACCCATAATCACTCCTTATTACTCAATGTGTAAAACAAAATACAGTAACTTAGCAAGTGACAATAGCTAAATGATCTCATTTAGGCCCAAAGGTTAATCAGGGAGATGCATGGTTAATATTTGAATGGGAAGTTACCAAGAAATACTAGAACTATACCATGGAAGAATTCAATGATACACTATTTCCATCATGTTGCCAAGAAAACTGCATGGACCAATCACAAAATGAGCAGTAATTGAGTTAGATTCAAAATAAACTTATCTTTTAACAATGACTAAGAATAAATGAACTTTCTATAATAGAAATTAAGTATTTCTGCTCTTCAGAAATCTTTGTTATTGCTATATAGTATTTATTATTGTTATTGAACTAATATAAATGTAATAATTTTATTTCTGAGAAAAAGTCAATGTTTATTTACAGCTTTCTTTTGTTAATTAAGCATCTATACTGCACATGTAAAAAGACTTCAATAGACTTCTAAATTTTAAAGAGGAACAAGGTTTTCCCATATAGATTTGTATTGCTAGTGACTTTCATTATTGAAAACTGGTGGTGTCATAACCAAATACTAAGCAGACAAACAACAGCTAGATGCTTTGGTCAGTAGCTTTATAAAGTCACAATTCCTAAAAATGACAACGATGAGTTGATGTAATCAAATGCATTATCTGGAAGTAAACCTATCTTTTCCAGAAAAAAGATAAATGTGAGGTGATATAATAGAACATAAAAAAGTAATGCATACAAGGAGGGACAATGAGGCAATATCACTACAGTTTGCTTTTTCTAAGTGTTTTATTATTGGCCATGACCATCATAGTAGCAATTTGTACATAGGCAGGTTCAACATGGAAGTGATGTTATAAGAATATTCACAACAACATAGCTACTAGTTCTAAAGTTTGCCTTTCCTGTGTAATAAGATGCTCAGAATAATATGTCAGTGGAGAGAAGTGGTAATCAGGGCATTTGAGTAAAATCCTAATCACAGCTGCAGGAAACTAGATAAAATATTGTTGTTTCATACTATTGCCTATTATTCAAAATACTTTTCCATCTGTTAACCATCCAATACTGTGCAGTGACAGATGTTACAATAGCAATGGTCAACAGTTAGCTCATATTATCAATTTAAATAAACAACAAGCTATTTTATAACTTACAGTGAGAATATGTCATGTGTTGACTTTCAGAGACAATATCTGGAACATCCTTGGAGTGGTTTCTGAAGGATATGGAGATTAAAGGTTCATTGATTCTGGTAAAATTATTCTTCTAATGACATTTCTTTATTCTATCATGAAATTCTGTGGACTACTTATTATTTACAAGTCTAATCAACTTTACAAAGCTTTCTTAAACTTTTTGTCATTAAAGTCAGCCAAAGAATTATTATGATCTCTAGTCATAATGCATACATTAGATTAGTGTTTATTATATTTCTAATGCAGATTACAAACTAAGAATGAAGAACAGGAAATTAGCTGGTATTCTTCTATTACTAACAAATTTCATACATTTGATGAAGAACTGATCTTACCTTTCTTTTGCATCCAGAAATGCCTTGGCAAAAGGGTTATATTTGATTTTGAGAGCTGTTATCTTGAGGTTCAAGAAAGAAGGGTTCTGTTAAGTCTTTTAAATGTGACAGCTGATCATTTACAAGAAGAATTTATACAAAATGTAAAAGACAGAAAGTATTCTTCATACCACACATAATTTAATATAGCTCTCAGATTTAGTAAACAATGCATGGAGTGGAGAGGAATATTTTTTTGGACCTTTTAAGGAAGTTAAAAAAAAGATTTAAAACAATTCAACACTTGACTACTATTTAGATGTGTCACTAAACATTAATTTGGACAACTTTAAAAGAATATTAAGCAATTTTTTCAACAACATAAAGCAATCAATCACACAATGATTTTATATTATCCTTCACTATCAGAAGCAACATACTTGGTTGGGGTTATTGCATATGCTTTGCTCTCCTGTGGCAGCACCGTATAGAATTAAATTGCTTTTGCCTCATGATAATTATCAATATTCTATTGAATCATCTTTGGCCTTTAGAATAATAATACAAAGTACAAATACACTGGCCACTAGCCAATTTCTTTCTTGATTTTTTTATTGATTTTGCAGTTGGAAGAGACTAACTTCCTGATCCAGAAGGATAACTTCTGGTGTCATATGAATGCCTCTTCCACGGTTATTGAATAGCAAGCATGCAAGAACACATCCTTGTTGATAACAATACTTTAAAAAGGGCAGTGGATCACAAAATTTACTTATGTTTTTCTGGACAGTGTAAAGTGATTCCCACTAATAAATGAATTGCTTTTGTATGATAGCCACCTACCTCTTCATTCTGGTAGGCAGTCACAGCAATAAACTGAGTTTCAGGAAAAGAACAATTCATTACCATCCTGTGTGGACCTCCTACTCGAACAATATGAACTTGAGGCTCATATTTATGTAGGGAATTCAACATAATCTAGAATGAGAAAAAGGGAGAGAAAATAATTGAAGAGATATTATTTTGTATTCTACATAACCTGTGACATATGGAAGCTATTACACAAAGTTGTATTAACTTTGGTTTCAATGCAAGATGCGACTCCTGGTAATCAAATAATTTGTGGCCCAAGTGTTGCAATTAAACAAACATTTCAATATACTCCCATTATTTCCAAGGTCAGGGAGCTTTCATTTTAAGGCCTATTGCTATATCTCAGGGTGTCAAACTGTCGTCACATGACGTATGGGACTTTTTTCCCTTTTACTAAACTGGACGTAGGCATGGCCAATGGATGACACATCCGGCCTGTAAGTTTGACAGCCCTTCTATATATCTGACAAGCCTTCTTTCCCCATCATATCACCCTCAAAAAGGGGAGAGGAAAAATAAGTAACTAATAACAGCAATAGTTGGTTTATTGCTAATGCACTATAATAAATTTAATCTCTGGTCACTTTACCTGGATGACTGTAGGTGCCCAAACAGCTGAAAAGTAGGTAAAACAGAGAATAGATCTGCAAACAGTAGCAGCAGACTGAGTATTTTGAATACATTTTATATTAGAATCAGAAGGGTTGAGAGATGGAAACCGGGTTGATTAGAAATGGTCCATAACTATAAAGGATTCCAGGTTAGGCTTTTAATACATGATTGCCCTGTCTTATTCTCATGATTTTATGAAGGCTCCAGAGATCAACATCCTTCAAATTTGATCCTCCTGTCTTTTCAGGCCACTTCTTCCACCTTTTATTTTTCTAGGGGAAATTTGTTAAGGAAGACAGAAGAAATAACTGGGGCCTTTTGAATGGTAGAGGAAGAGACCCTCCATTTGAATTCAGTGTTTAAACAATGAAATCTTGCATTGTATTAATTCCATTGCCCTTACTCATAATTGAAGCAATGAAATGTAACTTTTTTAAAGATCATGGCTCTGGGTCAGTACAAAAAGATAGTTCAATTCTTTTACAGTTTTTAGGCTTCCTACAGGAGAAACTGTATGCATAGAAACTGGAAAAAACTATTCAATTATGGTCACAATGACATCTTATTCCTTTTCTGGGTATCTTAGGTGTTAACAACTCAAGTGATTGGTTGAGGATGCATCTTTAATGTGTAGTTAAGCAATAATTAGAATGTTCTGGACCTTGAAATGTAGGGAAGATAGTATTGTTTTTGTAGAAAAATAACAGTGTTCCAGTTTGGGAAAGAAACAGAAATCTAATCACTATCTGAATGCTATGTTGTTGTTGCTGCTGCTGCTGTGCTGAAATATCTTTCTCCGAAAATCTGTATTAAACAATTGCTACATATAAAAACCAAAGTTCCTGCTGTCCGTGCTTTCCCAGTTTTCTTCTTCATGTAAATTCTGGAGGACCCCAGATAAGTATAGAAATGGCCATAAACAAGTCAGAAGAGATGTAAACAATACGCAAAGCTGGAAATTCATTCTTTGCTTGCTAATGGATTTGCTTTCAGATTTAATCCTGCATTCCAAAATAAATCAAAGAAAATGTTCATCACTGTAGTCCTAGATGCATATTAAACAAACAAGCCAACAAAGCCAACTTTCCTCTTTTATTTTTAAGGGCCTACAGAGAGAATGCCACTTATTTTCTCATACAGGTATATACTTTGTATTATTATTCCAAAGACCAAAGATGATTCAATAGAATATTGATAATTATCATGAGGCAAAAGCAAGCACAGTAATTATTTCATTTAGACGAAGCCTTTTATTTGAGTACCTGACTATTGCCAACATCCCACTTACGCACCAAATGGCAAAGGAGAGAAAACAAAGGCTCAATACCCCCAATCATTTTCCCTTCTCTGAAGCCCTATGTAAAAACTCAGCATACAAGGCACACTATGGAGGTAAAAATCCCTGATGGTTAAACCACAGCACACTCTGTCTCTCTTGACATCAAGGAGTCCATTAAAATCTGAAAGCTCCAATTAAAGCCTGTTTATTCCTGTTTACATTTGGACTCCATGGAATAATTGGCATCTGTGGGTGAAGAGGCCTCTAAGGGCCCTTCTAATTGCATAAATGCACCCTTGATCATTCTCGATTGGTAGAAGCCAATGACTCAAGCCAAGAGGCCTACAAAAAAAAAAAAAAAGCCATGGAGCCATACCTGCCCATTGCCATTTAGTTTATTGGTAAGTTTCACTTTGCTAAAAGATACTGTGGCCTTCATCCAGTGTGCTCCAAAGTTGGGTGAGTCTGGATGGATATAGACACAGCTGTGGTTGGATGGCTCTGGCTTTCCAGCAGGAACCCATTCTCCATTCACATACTTCCAGCGGTGACTATCAGTTGGAGCAAAATCCAGCAGAAAAGAATACATAGCATTTGGATCCAACCCCGAAACACTGATCTTTAAAACTGGAAACATCCGCCTGTATGAGAAACAATCATAGGTGAAATTAAGTCTTTTTAAATTTAGAGAATAATTTGTTTTAATTGCTTGCTTTATAAATTAACATATTAATGAGTCACTTGATGACACAAAATCTTTTCACTAAGAGAGAGACGGATAACACTCATTCCTCTTCTGTTTTACATGGATAGCGCTATGAAGTATGAGATCTTACAATCAAGACAGCTTGTTCTGTTCCTAAAACAATTGACTAGGGGACATAGTCATCACAAATATTTGGCTCATTATTAGTCTTTCCAATGAAAACCACATTCAAGGATATGCTACATAATGATAATTGGTCTAAAGCAGGGGTGTCCAACCTTGGCAACTTTAAGACTTGTGGACTTCAACTCCCAGAATTCCTCAGCCAGCTTTGCTGGCTGAGGAATTCTGGGAGTTGAAGTCCACAAGTCTTA